CCCCAAAACCCCAAAACCCCAAAACCCCAAAACCCCAAAACCCCTTTAGGGTTATACATGTTGAATATAAAATATTTCTAGTGATCGTTCTCATGGAATGTCTGGTTCAGAAGAGAAATTACTTGCTCTTTTCTCCTCCTGAGCTCATCTTCTCTCTTATTTTCGGAGAGGGCGAGACTTCCATCCTCAAGGTATTCCTTTTCGACGTCGCTATCTTCTTCCTCCTCTTCTTCTTCGTAGTCATACTCATCTCGTTCTTTCATTAATTTTAGCTTATCCATATTCAAAGGAGGGATTTTAGGGTTCTGAGTTTCTTTCTGCTTGTTATTGTCTACTTCAACCCCAAAGACCCCAAGTCTTTCAGTTTGAAGATCAATTTCGTTCAAATCAAGCCTCTTTATGACCTCTTCTTCCCTATTTTGGAGCCACTGGATTTGTTCTCGAAATTTAAGGGAGCCTTTTTCCTGATCGTCTAGCTGCTTATTTTAATTTATCATATTCCTGGTCTAATTTATGCATAGTTTTGATCCTTTGCTGCATTTCTGCATACTGGCACTCTAAAAGTTCTCTTTCAACTCTCTCTTTCTTCAACTCACTTTCAGCCTTCTTTAAGGAGTCTTTGAGTCAGATATTTTTAAATTTTTCTCTTGAATGTAAGCGTTGGAGGCAGTCCTCCACTCCTTCCTTAATCATGACAAAAAGTTTGGTAGAGAATGGGTGTATTTCAGATATTTCAAGTAGAGTTTGAACCACTCATTCCACCTTTTCCTCTTCGGCTTCAGAAGAGTATTTTAAATTTTCCTTTTCTGAAGCGACTGAGATCTGCTCGTTTGAGCAAATTTCCCTGATTTTTCTTTTGAGTACCTTCTCTAAACTAGAGAGTTGGCTAGTCAACTTCATGCTTTCTTGCATTCTATCTATCATGAGCCCACTTTCGTCCTTAAATTGGAGATTTTCTGGACAGAAAAAGGAAAGAGGAGACTGGTCTTTTCTCATAATACTATTCTGATAAGTATTGATAGCACTATTACACTCAAGAGTCTTGTTCTCTACCTTATCCCGAGACTTAGCTCTACTTGCAGTTTCATCTCTACACCTTGATCTCTTGCCAGATCGCTTCTTTTTGCTTCCAGATGGGTTCGCATTTTTAAAATTAAATAGGAAGCTAGAGGAATTCTTTTTGTTATCTTTATGCTTCTTAGAGGAGTTATACTGATCTTGCCTGTCCATTCTAGTGTACTGAGCATCACTATAAAGTCAGAAAGAGTGCTTACGTCCAATCTTTAATGCTAGCCAGAACTTTTGCATGAGTGCTTAATTTCCCTCCATTTTTGGCCTTGTTCTTATTCGAAGATTTGCTGTGTTTGACTAGGGGAACGTCCAAAATGTTAGCAATGTTCTTAGATTTCCTCTATATTTGGTAAAGCAAATATGGTACATTAAGAGCTTGCAACAGAATAGAAGGCTGCTTATTTTTCATCTTGCTTTTACCCCTCTTATTTACCGAGTTTGATGTATAGGAGCGATAGGCATGCTGAAGGTTCTTGCTAAACTTCCTACTGTGACTTTTCTCCCTCTGATTATGACTGGTGCAGTTCTACTCAAGGTTAGAGAGAATTTTGAGATAATCCTTACCTTTAGAAATTCTTTGGTTGGATAATTTGAATAATAGTTAAACATTTGTGACATATTTAAATTAGTATGCTGAAAAGAAGGATCTGCAAATGTATCTTCAAATTTATTTAGACTTAGGGGATTTCTTTGACTTAGATCTGCTTCTGATATTAATCTTCTTGCTTGACCTCTTCTTGTCTAACAGCATGGACTCAATATCGTTACCAAATAAAGAACTGTTTAACTTATGTGCAGCTATAAGATTGGTTAAGGGTCATTCTGGAATCTGAGTGGATTGATATAGCTTACCAATACTAGAGCCACATCTTTTCTCTCTATTCTTCTCCTTATTACTGCTCTTTATTTTAGACCTTCCATGAGAGGTTTTAGAACCTTTGCGGTTTTTAGAGGAATTCGACTAAAATTAGATATTAAAATACTCCAGAATTATGTCTATGATCTATAAAGTTAGCAAAGAGTTGCCTACTGTCTCTTGAATTTCTGTGATAAGCCTGAGGCTTTCTAAAACTCGAGTTTACACAACTGTTTGAATTTTTGTTAAAATATCCCAATGAATGATCTCTTCCCCGTTTCCCATTTGCCTGTCTATTCACAAAGATGAGAACTCCAGTCTTGCAAATGAAATAGATTGGTGAAATAAGGCCCAATGATCTTTAAATCAAGAACACAAAAATTGTAATAATCATTACCAATTCCTCCTTGATGATGATAAGTTCTCAAGCATATTCCATTGCCAAAAATCAGACTTTTTTAAACTCCCCCTAGCATTCACACAAAGAGTTTACCTTTTATTTTTTGAGGTTATTTGCTGTCAATTTTCTGAATCTGGCTCTATAATACTCAATTTGATTAATTAGAGAATATATATTAGACTGAAGTTACTTATAGACATCTGGAAACTCCTAATCTTAAGCAGAAATATAACTATCAAAATGTTTGCGAAAATAAATGTTTTCATTCTAAACTACCTAACAATCTTAAAAATCTCATACTTTTCTTCGACGAGTGGTTTCTTCATGGAGGAGTAAAAGTATCCGGTATGCCCATTCTCCCGTGATGGCTGGAACCAGGCCTCACTATTGATTTATTCAAATAAGATTGCCTTATTAGGCTACTTTCTCTGCCCTTCTTGCGAGCACTTTCGTGACCTATACTCAAAATTATCCTAAAAAGGCCTAAAATTGTTTAAAAATACATAATTTGATAAAATTAGATAAAATCTGCTTACTTTTCCTAACCTCCATTATATTTTAAAAATAATTCAAATTTTTTGCAAACATAGGGGTTTTGGGGTTTTGGGGTTTTGGGGG